CACAATAAGTGTAAAGGAAGCCCCACTTATTGAATTTTCACTGTATTTATATTGATCAGACTCCGGATCTTTTGTTGCGGCCAAAGCCAAATAGCAGCCTTAGGCAAAATCTTTGGCTCTGGCTGCGTTATGTAAGCCGCCTTACAAGGTTCATAAGACAAGAGGCAGCCAAAAGGCATGACTTGTGGTAGCATATTGCCGTTGTTTTTCCCATTTTTGGACAAAATGCCTGGCTGATGTGTTTGCCACAATTACTCGCACAACCCAAGCCATCCCTTGCCTCCGAGATGAACAGTCGGGGAAACATTGAAACAAATCATTTACAGGCCTTGCATTGATGGATACGTAGTTATTTTCTGTAACACGGAGCATATTTTGCAACTGCTCGATTTCTTGAACTGAACTCTGGTCAACATTCACTTTTGGCTCAAAGATCTTCTCATTTTCGGTTCCTGATGCTGCTGCTGATGATGCGCCATTAATGCGCTACATTAACGTAAATTACTCAAAATCATTTCACTTTCAAAACCCAAATTCACGTCATGCCTGCCCACAACAACCTTTTGAATTGGTTTTCTATTTTCGGTACCTATATTTATTTTAATTAGATTTTTTTTGCGCACCGCCTGATGTTGCCTTGATTTTGCGAAGAGCTCTGATTGATGTTATAACAAAAGAAAGTTGAACAAGCAGGGATCATGGTTGAAGAGGACGGCGATGGTTTGATTGAGTGGACGAGTGGTTGAGCGTGCCGGTCTTTATGAATGGGCGCTGGGGGTGGGCCTTTTTTTTGTTAAAAAACGACCATGTACATCATCTGATTGATGTTTGGGCCACTGAAAAGTGCTTCAGTATTATCTTTTATTTGGGTGAAAACTTTTTGTTTATTTTGTATTTATTTTTTTTGCTGAATCATGGGTCGAGAAAGTGTAACAAATAAGTATGACAATATATAAAAATATTTGTACACAAAGAAGATATTTTAGCCACTGAAGTTTTCAGCCTTATGCTTAAAATCATTTTTAGCAGCAATAATTCATGGGTATTATTTTTGTGGACTAACACGCCCGTGAGTGTGGGAACCAAAAAGGAACGAGGTGGGATCGAGGTAATATTTTCCGCTTATCAGAGAACCCGCTGCAAAGATTGCTAATTGAAATTCAGATGCTGTCGACGCAATTCGCAGCAGATGAAGCCGTCGCTCGGGGCCGATATAGATACAGATACGGCTCGAATGGGATCGTGAGAGCCCTGGTAACCCAAATGCTGGCGTGCTGGATTTGATTTGTATGTGCACTCGTCAGAAATTATGTGGAAACTGACAGCAAAGCTATGTATGAGGCGGCACAGCAAATTGAACAGTAACAGATGCAACCACGGGTTACATATATTATATGTTGTTATTTTTTCCTCGGAAAAACTATTTAAATAAAGCACAAGTATGCTGCTGCATGTCGGCATGCTGGGCAACGCAACACGCAAAACTCAAAACTGAAAACTGTAAATTGTAAACCCAAAACTCAAACACACCGAAAATACTAATACCCCAAGTAAACCGAACCCGAATAATCACTTGGCTCATTTGTAGGCAGACCAAGTGGAGTGCTCAGGTGAGCATTTATTTGTATGTGTGCTTGCAACATTCGCACTCAAACTGATGATGATGATCATGATGATCGAGACGATGTGCCAATTGCCAGGCATATTCAGACATAGCTGAGTTATTGAAGGCATACACAAAATTTGGTAATTGTTGCAGCTATTTTGGGGAATCTGGGGGACTGGTGAAAGGCAGAAAAGGTCTGCAGCTCACGTGGCCCACTCGAAGTTCCAACTCCCTGTCATTGTCTGAGGATGCTCAGACGCGGCGGAGAAGTGCACTTCAGACATGGCTAAGAAAGTCAAGGCGGTTGGCTTGTTCGCAGATATCCAAAAACTAAGATCAGTGCACAGTGAAAAAATTCTCTGTAAATAAAATGAAAAAATAAATATATAAATATAAAATACAAAATGATCTTCAAAGAGTGGTAGTAATGGAAGTCCTATTAGTCTTTAATTTTCAAAATATGTAAAAAATGTTATCAAAGATTTAATAAACATTTTTTTCAGTAAATGGAATTAACGTCAAATGCAAAAGTTGTTTTCATTTGATTTATGCACAATCAATGGCAGGCTGCAGCCAGTTTTGCATTGAGCGTTTTCGGTCAATAATATGGCATTGAATTTGTCGCTCACTTCGTCCGAGTGACTTAGCTTAGCCATTGCAATTTGTATGCAATTAGCTGCGAGCTGGCCAGGTATAAATCTGCAAGGGGCGGCCGCCCAATTAATAAGCTGTTAAAATCGTCAGATTGCTAGCGTTGGTTATCAGTCAGTAGGTGCAGAGATCAAAGCCACATTCAGTTGGCTTATTTATTCACTGGCCAGCTGCAGTTTGGTTACATTCTATTTGAGACCATGCAGTCCATAAACCGCACGTAAGCCGTGTCCGATCCTATCGCAGTTGCGTGCATTTCGGGTGATATATCAAAAACCCTTCACAAGCCGAAAATTCAACAGGCAAAAAAACGAGTTACAGACCAACATTAGACTACATACTTATTGAGAAAAAGAATCAATGTATTGTAAGCCATTTTTACTTTAAGTGTAGCTGTCTGAGATTGAATGGATTTCCTAGCAACGATAGGATCGCTAACGTTTTGTGGGTCAGAAACCGAATTAAGGCAGCTTTTGGCCTGCTTATCAGACACGTTGCTCTGTGCCATCGAATCTGCATTGCCAATTTATGGCACAATAAAAAATCGAAGGCGACACTAATGCCACATAAATGTGCGTCATGTTGCAATTGCTCTGCCGTTTATCAAGTATGCGCCATGTGTTCACCATCAATTCGATTTGTTTTCAGCTTTTTTGCACCACTGACTGCAAAATGCCAAGCGGATGTGAAGACATGAGCGCTCGGCTACCTGTCTGGTGAGAATCAATTAAGCAATTGGCCCGAGCAAAGTGTTGAGCAAAGCTAAGTGCAACAATTAAAACTGTATGAGTCTGGCATTAGCAATCAGACCCAGAAACGAGATCCTCTCAGCATGGGTTAAGCGAATAGCAGCATAAATTGGTATTTGCACATCAACTCACTTCACCGGCACTTTGTCTTGTGGCTATTGAGAGCCTCTAACTAACCATTGGTTTATTTTTAGTAAAATGATTAATGATCGCTAATGGGAGCTTTGCGTATTCAGGTTTGCGGGGTTTTAAAATGACTTTTATAATTACTTTGCTTACAGATCAGTTTACAACCAGGTTAACTAAAGTTCAATCAAGACATTTTCTTGATTATGCAAAGATTTTCCATTGAGATTTATAAAAGCATATAAACTTCCCTACTTCGTTTTGTGAATTCCACTCAAGTATCAGGCAATCACAATGTCATCCTCACTTTTCGAGTGAGATTGTGTGAAGTTGTTGTAAAAACCTTCCCATGGAAACAATATTTAAGTCAGTCTCATATATTTTATCATAATTAATAACTATCAATGAAATCGCTGCGAAGATAAATCATGAATTTCTCTGTGCATTACAAAAGCCATTTCCACACATTTACATGACATCAAAAACTAACTAGAAACTAGCAGCAAAAGAGCAGGTAGGCGGGGAAATTTACATACAAGCATCCAACACAACAATGCGACCGATGTGGCAAGCTGACAAAAAAGCTGCCACATGCAGCATCTTGGCAAACAAAGAAAGAGCCCAACGACAAAAAGTCCTCTGTACTTGTCACGCCCCTCTTTGGGACTGGGCTTGGGCGCAGGTATTACGGCGCAAAGATGACATAAGTAGCATCAGAGCAGGCCCCGCGATACAATCAGCAGCTCTTTGCATTGTCTAACAATGCATCGAGGCAATTAAGGTACCGCTGCCGAAGGAAAAAATATATTATTAGCAAATGTCAACTTTTGGATGCGCTTTAAAATATTCACAAAATATGGTTGAGGTCCCATATGGTGACTATAATTGGAAAACTGCGCCCGTTCTTTGTTTGGGGACATTTAGCACATATAACCCACAGAAATGTGTGCCATCAAAAAAAAATGTTTAAAAGAAACAACCTTCTGTGACCAAGTGCCTTAGATAAGCCAAAGCGGCGGCGATTTATGTAAAAGTCGTTTGGCCAGCCATCGACGATCCAAAATTAATTGACTCTTGCGGGCAGGTGTAAAGATTGCATATGCATGCGAGCTGTAGCAGTGCGCATAAATTGGCAAGTTGGCTTTTGCAGCAGCTTTGGCTTTGCAGTGGCAGTGGCAGGTTGGCCAGAAGGACGTTGCGTGCAGCCTTTCACAAAAGCTGTCGCCCCAAAGGCGAGCAACAATTAATTGACTTACGCAGTGGCCCGCTGGCCTGCAACTCTGATCTGCATCTCAGACTTTTCCGTTCCTCCGTCCGGTTGTGGCAATTAAGTCTGCACTGAATTCGAGATCAATTCACCTCCGATCTCAGCGATTATCCCCCCTTGTCGCCCGATTATGGCCACGCGTATGGGCGTGTCATGTCAGCCAAGAAACACACTGAGTCTGTGTGGGCGATTGCGTTTTGTTTGCATTCTAATTGCCCTGTCATGATGGCTAATGAACTGAGCACTCCATAGCGATCATAAACTAGTGAAAAATGTCGACCACACGCTCCATGGTCCATGGACTTTTTCGGTTCGTAAATATGTTGGTTTCAGTGAATTACATATTTTAAGGGCAACCTTGAACCAAATTCATTTCTGTGCGAAAAATATAAAACCGAAATGAAAGCAACAAGCTGGTAACGAGTTTTAATAAGCATTTAACGCGGATTAAGCCTGAGAAGCGTAAAGTTGCAAGTCGTGCCAGTTGTAAACTGAAAATTATGACCAACATTGGGCAAATCTTCTGTTAATTTCCAACGCTTGTGATAAATCAAAGCTGGATAAAATATGACTAGGAACACGTAATTTTCAAATTGCTTGCTTGGTATATTTGCGTAAATATTGAATAAGAAAATTACGGCATCCGCCTTAGAAGAGCATCGCAGTCTCGGGTGGCGTCTTTGCATGAGCCCCAGTGAGCGACAATCCATTCTGTAAATAATAATTTCATTAATTTTTATATTAACTTTAAACTTAATAACTAATACCTTGTCCCCTGCATTTTTGATTTTCGAAGGCGCACTTATTCGAAAATGTGCAAACACTAGTGCCGTCCCTTTGCTTCCAGTAGCCGCAAATAGGATCGAATTCTCTCGTGCAAGGCCTTTCGCATCGAACCGATGTTCCTTCAGCCAAAGCCAGACAGCTTAAGGCTATAAGGAGAATTATAGCCACAGACCTCATGTCGTTTTCAAAAATATTATGCAATTTCGAATGGGAATTGTGCCATCAAAGCTGCTATTTATATGTCAGAACCATAATGCTGTTTTGTTTTTAAATCAGACATGTGCGCAAATACTAAAAGTAGTCCGTTCACCGAGAATGAAGCAGGTGCATTATCGAGTTCAGTGAACCTTCGAAATGGGATATCCATAAAAGGTATCTCATTTTACTTGGTCAGTGGAAAAGAAAGCCGCAACTGTCAAATGAAAAGTGAAAGGACTTAAGTGCGTTATTGTTTCTCTTAACACTTATATAAGCAAAACTGATGCCCAGGGAGTTGGATGCCCTTCGTCAAAACGAGACCCTCGATAGATGGCAAAAGAAAAGCAAAACACTTTCACAATTTATTACCGAGTGTATCGGCGGTTATTCAAACTTCAGTTATTATCGACAATCAGAAAGCGTCTTAAAAATTCGCCTGTAGATTTATTAATGTTTTTGAAGAAAACAAATATCAGCTAGAAATCAAATAATAAATAAATCAAAGTAAACCCGAATAATAAATCGGCATTAAGCTGTGAAAAATTGAATATGCGTTGAGATCAAGTATCTCCTAATCTATTTTGCAAACCATTATATATATTCCCTGTTAGGTGGATAAACGAGTTAAATTAAAATACTCAAAAATTCAAATCGATTAATGAGTAAATTAATTAATTTCAAAGAGGCCAAGAAGCAATCGCAGTAATCCAGACCAAAGGGTGTTTTAGGCAAGCCTTGTTTTTGGTTATATAAGTTGCATGGAATGCTTTGGTCATCAAACACAGACACTTTCACTATTGGCCGCTGCCGAAGGCTGCAATAACAATGCCAATCAATACCTTATACTACTTAATACTTTATCAAAAGCCGTTAACAATTGCCCGAAAATGTGGGGTTTTTGTTTTTGGCTTTCGTTTTGAACGTGGCGACAAAAGCCAAAAAGCGATTAACACTCGCCACAAGTCATAAATCTGAGCACATTAAAGCCACAAAATAAAAGCAAGGTTGCCAAATGTCAGATGTCAGACTCCCCCTAAAAACTTCAATTGCCGACAGATAAAGAAACGCCCGAAACAATGGCCAGCCGAAAGACAATGCACTTTGGTCTACGGGAGGTACTGTGTCCGTAGACTGCCGATCACCAGCCAGCTGCCAGCTACAGTATAAACTCGATTGTATGAATTATTCAATTTTTAAATTTAATAACCCATTAACAACACCTTTGTCTAAAAGTGAAGTTTGCTCAAAATGCTATGTCCACTGTGCATACCAACTGCCTGACTGATTAATGCTTTTGACCGCAGGCGTGTTTCTATTTGTCAAAGGGGCGTTTCGCCTTCTCGACATGTGTGCATACATTCTCGTAACGTATTAATTTACCTACTTCTTTTTTAAATATTTATTTTTTTCAGAATACTTCTACTATCTCTGGTGGCTGTGGCGCATGCGCAATATCATCAGTTTGGCGAACAACTTCAGACGGCTCATGGCTCGGATTGTGCCCTCCTCTTGGCCGGACCCGGTCGTTCTTCCGTCTATGACTACAATGTGAACCTATTCCGCGGCACTTTGTAAGTACAAATAGAAACTGTGTGTGTACTATTAGTATGAAAGAAAAATGTCTAGGTGGCATTCTGGGTTATGTTTGTTGCTTAAATATTTAAACATAGACGGGGATAGGTTGCAGGGGAAAACAAAGAGTGTATACAGGAGTCTACATTTCTTAAAAAAGAATACAAAATTCTTGGAAAATATATGACTAATATGTAAAAAATAAAAAAACTGAAAATATCTAGGTGCAAAACTAGAATTAACCCAAACTACCACTCAAGTTCCATTTATTTCTCGGTGTGCATATGTCCAACTGACACCCATAAATCTTGGTCGCTGCTGTTTGAGCAGCTTGTTTGAGCAGTGGCAACATGGCTCTACACCTACTACAACAGAGCACACGAGCTTTGAGCTAATCATTAGCCGCAGAAACAGCGGCAGCAATCATTCGGCAACCGCCTGCTGACGTTGATGTTTTCATGCGGCAATGCCCAGGGATATAGAGGTACATTCGTGCATACCTCAGCCTATATATTTGTATATTTTTGTTTGCGGGGGCCTGCTGAGCGATGTGGTTGCACCAGAGTTGCTACTATATGCTAATATTTTAGCAATATTTGACAGCCAACGTCTTCATTGATGTCAAAAAGGCTACTCAAACAGTTTGATTTAGGGATCTTTTATTTTATTATAAAAAATCAAAAGGTTTTCAATGAGTTTATCGTGTTTCTAGCTTTAGTGTTTTGAGGCCAAGGGCAGGGTTCTTGGCTTTTTTATAATGCACACTAAAAACCGGACATCTAAGGATACTAGAATACGTTTTCTTGGCAACTTAACTTTCCTTCTTGTGTGCGACAACAATATTAACGAAAGCTGCACTTATTGAAGAAATTCCATATGGTTTTATGGCTTATGGTTTTTAAGACACAAATAATAAACCAAACTGCACTTTTTTGACATTTTTGAAAGCTTTTAGCTTGACCTGAAAGTGTCATATTAAGGGCTACCATCAGATAAATAATCTCCTAAGATCTCACTCTCATCACTAAGCTCAACTTTACTGAACTTCCTTGGAATATAGTTGAATGGTTTTTACGACTTATATAGTAGTTTAGGGAACAGATTTGTTTTCCCTTTGTAAACCAAACATATGCCAATGAAAATGGGTTCTTGGTTGAAATGATGACTTCTAATGCTTTACGGGCTGTCATAGAACCTCGTTAACAGCAATCAGCAAATGGTTTTTGGCCTCGAATGGCGACGACAGCGTCAGTTTTTGCCTCAGCTTCAGCTTTGGCTGCAGCGTGATGTGATGCAGACGGACGCATCATGAAGTCACATGACAGACCGGTGCGATTTATTAGTAAGCGAAAAAAAATCAAACCGCACGACAAAAAGCCGCAAACAAAAATAGCAAGGCAACAGCAGCCCAAACAAATGGCGTTGCAACACTTGCAGATGCCAAAAAGAAAAAAAAGGAAAAACACATAAAATAAAATAAAAACACCTGAGCTGCCGTGGGGCTTCAGTCCCATTGATGGCAAACTTTTGTCTCGAGATGATTTCGAAAAGTGACTTTGAAACGCTGCCAACATACAATGCCTCCTGAACTGAACTTCAATGTGTACCGAAAAGAAATATCAAATTACAGAAGAAGGAAACTTTTTTTGAAATATAATTAGGGTATTTTTGGACAATTTTTTACTCAGCCCAAGCCTTTGTTATTGAAGCCAAAGCAGTGAAAAACCATCCTTTAGTTTTTATAAAAAATGGAACCAAGTAGTTATGTGCATACTGCCATCTTCATATCGAATTCCTTTTGTAGTTTTTTGCTGTGTATCACTTATGCCAGCAGATATCTATGTTTTAAATGTCACACGATCTAGATAGAGATTGCAAATTGTTCAATTGCTCGATTGTCTCTGCATTTTTGGAGTGCGGGGGTCACTGAGAAGTGGAGCTAATTTTTGGGGTCGCCGGGCATCAAAACGTGAGTCTGCCAAAGTCGTTACCGCTGACTTTGGCCTGGCTATTGAACCTGGTTGTTGACTGAGTGGCTGCGTTGCGGTCAGTTGGGGAAAAATGCAGAAAAATTGGCCGCAACAACCTACTTAAAAGTTAAATACAGGTTTTGCGTTGGCCACTTTCGTCTGCAATGTCTGCTGGGAGTCTGCAATTGAAGTTGCAACTGCATCTGTATCTGTATCTCCATCTGAATCTCCCTCTTCAGTGTCTGCGTAAGCGAAGTAGCCCACAAAAAAAAGGAAAAAAAAAGGAAGAAAAATGAAATAAACGCCAAGAGGCCGAAAGACTCACGCTCGAATAGATAAATGATATTTGAATATTTTGCCAGCGAGTTTACAACACGCTTTTGCAATTATTCACAATATTACGCATACGCCGCATGTGCTGCTCCGCTGCAACTCAATACCGAGCAGGAAGTGTTGGCGGTTGTCGTTGAAGCTGCGCACCTGCGATCCCATATTGAATTCGCATCGCCATCGCCAGTTAAGATTCAAAACATTAGTTTTTACTTTGCCACAGCATCAGCAGCAGCAGCACTACAATCAGGATAACAAGTACAAGTCCGTGTCTGGGGCGGGACGAGTTCGATGGGATCCAGACGGGAGTCTAGGGGAGTGGGCTGGAAAATTCAGTGCGTGCCGCATGCAAGCCACTTTCTAGTTGGCCCAAAACTCGGGCTATGCGCACATTGAACTTACCGGGTGCCGTAAATTTTAAAGCAGTGTGAGTGCTTTTTTGCCGAAAATTTAGCCAGCAGACCAGTTGAGTGCCTGGCTTTGCCATTTTCGATTTCAATTTGACAAATTTGACCAAAAAATATGTACAAACCTTTTCCATTATAAATCCCGATGGGGTAATACTCTTATAAAGTTTATAGTTTAGAGAAAAAATAAATTGGCCTTTGCTTTATATTGAAACTAAAAATGTAGGTGTAAGGATAAGGATACATTTTCTTCTACTCAGTCTTTAAAAGCCACTGAATGCATCGAGTGAAGGTGGTGCAACTATGGAAAGTTTGTGATAAATGTTGCATTTATTGGAAACCATTTTCCATTGCATATAGTGGGCAATGCCTTTAAATGCATATTTTCTGCACGGCTGCTCCTGCTGTTGTTGTAATTACTTAATACTTACGCATTGTTAACACGCATCGTTGTCGCCTGACACGCGTTTTACATGTCGCACCATTCGAGGAAGTTGCTGGCCCCCATTTTTGGGGAGATTTTCTCGAGCAGCTGCTCGACATAAGAAATTTGCGTGTTTTGGCATTTAATTAACAAACCGGCTGGCAAAACAGAGCGACAATATACATATTATGGATACCCGGCAAATGCAATGTTAAAGTTAAGTTTGTTACTTCAACAGTAACAGTTAACCATATTTGTTAGTTTTATTTTTTTTTAAGTTTTGTATGTTGCACGGCGATGGAGATGTTGTGGCAACCGTTTCCTGTCACGAGGAAAAACCGCCTGCAGCCGGTTGAATCTAGTCGTACTCGGCCCCAATGGTCAGACTTATAGCTCCCGGCTGCACAAAGGTCTGGTGGTACCATTTGTTCGTGTCCAAGACAACTGCAGAGACACCGATTAGGGGCTGGTATGCCAAATTGTGTCTCCTACTTACTTATGTCTCCCTGCTGGACCACCACGTCGAAACTCTTGCACTGGAGATAGCACTCGGGAGGTGGCACCAGCAGCCAGCGTTTGCTGCCAGCCAGTTGGGCCTGCCACGAAGGCAACCTTACATTGTCAATCTGTAAGGAATGTATTAAAAATTGATACTCACTAGGCATTTAAACTCACATGCATTTGTGCCCCTAGGCCGGAAGTTCCAATGAAAAACCAATCAACTGCATTATTCTCCGACTTTTCGGGCAGGAAATAGGGCCTTCCATAGTGACGCCGAAACTCCTCTGCAGTTTCCGCATGACAATTGCTCCACCCGAAGTACCAGGGCTTTTCACCTGGCTTTAGATTCACTCTACCCTGCGGCATGTCCAAAGCTTCGTAAATGTCCTGGAAGCCCGTTTTGTAGGGCAAGAATTGGCAGTCCCTTATTTGGTTTTTCTGCTTGGCCTTGGCATACACATCGTGGAAATATCCGTAGTTGAAGAGCTAAGAAAGATTACTTTATTTCTTGTTTTATTATCTTAAATATTGATTTCGATAGTATTACCCGAACTGCAGTCCAATTTTGTGTGGCATCGCTGACAATAACTGGCGCGGCATTGTAGGCGTATTTTCTCTCAAATTCTTGAGGACTAAGGTTCTGAAGACGTGGCACATTTTTGATTTTCGCACAAAAGTCACAAGACTCAGGAGGTCGGAGTGCATATCGCAGAGTGCGCGGCAGAGCAAGGACACAGTTCTGAAATATTAAGATTTCTTTATAAAACAAAAGAGATTCTCCTATTTGGCATACTTTTCCCTGCATTTCCTCATAATAGTACTTTACACCTAACAACAGAAAAATGGCCAAAAGCATTGCTTTCAGAAACTTAATCAACTTTTTAAATATCTGATCATGCTGGCAAGAATTCTTAACCAGATCCTGGAACGACTTGGTGAGATAATCTGGTGAATAACCATCTAGTATTTGTGCCAGTCTGTGTTGAGCCTGCTCCAATTTAGTAGGCTTCATGCTGGCGATGCTGCTTCCACAAACTCACTTCACGAACTGATGCCACAACTTGACATTATCCTTACTTCGTAACCGGGTAACGCGCTGGCCCGGCAATAATTTGATTATCTGCCAGTGCGCAGGCTTGCAGGAAAGCGTGGGTGGACTGGGAGTGTGGTTAGCATGTGATAAGCTACAAATTGCTTGTTATTGTCAATTTAAATCACTTTCACTTTATTTTATTTGCAGGGGTCCATACAACAATGGTCCGGGAACGTGCATCACCTACGATGCCATCAACGCCGCCTATTTGGATGCACGCAAGCGTATTCGTAAGTTAATCATCCTTTTCTATTACAGTAAAGCTTCTGGAACTTGACATTTTGTTGACATTTAGATAATCACGTAAACTTGCTTCTTATTTTGAAAATTATATTTTCAACTCCTTATATCTCATCTCAATATTTTAATAAATTTATTGAAAGCTTACAAGTTTACTTTTATAAAGGGGATACTTAACAATTAATTGTACTTTTCGTGTTTTCATAGATGTGGCCCAGCCAAAGTCGGACTGGAAGCCAGAGGAACTGGCCACCGTGGGCGAGCTGCTGCTCGACATTTCCATTCAATTGGCCCGAACGTAAGTAATCAGCGCTAAACGCATTTGAAAGTTGCCCTGGCACGCCCACGATCTCCCTCGGCGCTAATAACGATTGCCAAATCACGCATGACAAGGCAGTTAAGTCGTGCCCCGCTGAAAAGACCGCCTGCAGTCATCAAATATGCATGAGTCTTGTCTTGCCTCCAAGGTTCTACGCTTGCCACATTTTTGCACAGAAAAAAAGAAGCAAATTTGAACAGGATATTTTAATACACAAAAAAAATAGGGTTCGTTGTGTACCTTTTTGGATACATTTTTTTCAATGTGCGCCAGTTCTTTTTTGAAAGTTCGGCAGCTCATGCAAATGCTAATTGTCTGCGGGTTTGACTGATGGCCAGTCGACGGCTTTTGAAGAAGTGCATTCGAGTGCTCGTCGAATTTGAAGCCTTCTTCCCAACTGGCGCAACCGCATTTTTGCCACACAAAAATATTTGCAGCTATTTGCGGAGCTCGCAGCCTGAGATGTAAACAAACGGGGATTATGCAACCTACCGCTTTGGCAAACAGCCAGTGAGCCAGTAAGCCAGTGAGAGTGCGCGTGACTGTCTTCCCCCCCTGTTGTCCACCCCGGTTCACCGATCCCCCTCACTGCCCCTTATCGAAAAGAAGCTGCGGAAGATGCCGCACAGCATTTCCAGTTTCATTTTTCCTTTATTTTGCCGTACGTTTGGTTGGCCAACAATTGGCCATTGCATCGGATTTGACTGTTGCACTGTAAAAAAGAGGATAACGATTCTAAAGATTTCTCTGAAGTATTAGATGACTTCTTCCATTAAATAGTTACTATAAACTTTCACTAAAAAAGTAAGCATAATAAAAAAAAGGTCTAGTTTTTTTTGCTTAAAACAAAACTTTTCTTTCAGTTTTGGGGAGTGGAATCTGGGTAAGCGGGTTGCCGAGTCAGTTGGCCACAGTTTGGAAGCTTCAAGGAGTTGGAGCTCAAAGCTCGGCACCTCCCCATGTGCGACTTTCACTCAGCCCCGTCTAAGCCGATCTTTGGTCAGGAGGGGCAGCAACAGCAGCATCTCCGTCTTAATCTCAGCCTGTTGCAGCTGCAACATCTGAATTGCCGTTGTATAATCTCTTGATTATGGCTAATACTATGTTGTAAACTGCAAGACAGTGGCTTTATGGCATTCTATAAAACCGGGAGACAACTTTAAACGATGGCTTATTGCAGGCAAATCAGTGATGAGCCATTGCAAGATATCGTTTTTCGAGATCTCCCTTTAGCACTTGACGAAGAAAGTACTTTTTCTTTGTTTCTGCAAGTAAATTGCAGAGCCAATTGACTGTGAAGTTTTACAGCTTCGTACCAACCAGCTTCACACAATAGGGCAGCCGGACGCAGTTTCCCTTTTGGCTTTTCTCGCTTTCTCATGCACTCGAGGAAGAGTTGATGGCGGTCCCTTTGGCGATTTATGCGCCAGCACACACTATTTCCTGCCCAACTGAATACCAGTTTGTCAGCATTAAAATCTCAGATTTTCTGCCAAAAGAAGAAAAAAATTGGCTGCCAATTGAAAGTATAAAAATTTGCCACTGTCAACGTCAGACTTCAACATCAATATATCTGTCAGCCAGTCCAAAAGCGCGTTAATTGCGGTCCGTTTACTAACTGGGCTAATACGATAATTTTGCAATTTTTCAATAAAACTCTCAGACGTATCTACACAGAAAAAAAATGTTTCAAAGCAGTCTGGTTGTTTATTGATATAAATATCTCCTAGACTTTCTAATGCGATTTATGCTAATGGATTAATTTTTATTAAATCGGTTTTTTTTGTTGATAATAGGAAACCTAATGTAGTTTTAATAGATTTTATTTACGTGTGTTACTTTTTACGGCAAGGAATATCTGACAGCTGTCGACAGGAAAGAGCCAAGTTGAGCGATATCCGCAGTTGCATTTAAGCAGATCGATAATAGCTCTTGACTGGCAACTCAATTCCGTTTACTGTTTTTCTAATTTTCAGCTACGGCTTATCCTATGAGGAAATCGAGAAGGGATTGCCGACAATTGACACATCGAAGACCTTGATTAGGGAGGTGTGTCCACCCTTTTTCGCCGGAGTGGAGTGCCGTCCTGGCAAATATCGGCGGTTTGATGGCCTGTGCAATAATATTGAACACCCGACGTGGGGAGCGGCCAATGCTCCGTTCCAGCGCCTGATCGGTCCACTGTATGCCGATGGAATTAACGCCCCCCGCATATCGGTGACTGGCCGGGACCTGCCCTTCTCCAGAGTTGTCTCACGCACTATGCATCCCGATGATGGTTACCATGACCACGCCGGCACCGTGATGGTTATCGCCTGGGGTCAGTTCATGGATCACGACTTTACGCTGACGGGAACACCACTGGGTGAGTTTGTTTAGCATATTCAGGTGTATTGCCCCTGGGAAAAAATCGTATTTGTTTAAAGTCTAGAAAATAAATCTATTTTTTAAATAAACTCAAAAAGTTATATACAAAATTGATTTTACTATTATTTTTTTTAAGCCATTAAAAATATTTATGCCAGTAAAAATATTATGTGTTTATGTCTAAAAATATTTATGTCTAAATATTTCTTATGTCCAATACCTCTCTAACGCGAGTACAATTTGCAATTTAGATCCCATTAACCGCAACGACCCCGAGGAGTGCTGCAAGCGACCATTGCATCTGAAGCACCCGTACTGCAACGAGATCCGCGTGCCCGATGACGATTATTTCTACCGCCTGTTTAATGTCAAGTGCATCGATTTCGTGCGCGGCTTCCCCTCGCCCCGTCCCGGATGCCGATTGGGTGAGTTAAGTCACACCTTCAAAAACCCATTCAAAATAGTAGATACCTCTCAATATTGTTTTAAAGGCTTTAGTTGGCTTAAAGGCAATCTAATTTGAAATAAAATTTGTTCGTGATTCCTTAATATTGCTGTTCAAATTACAATTGGTATAAAACTAAAATCATTTAAAACAAATATTCTGGTTATTAAGATTATAATAAACATGTTATTCTTTTTTAGGTTCCCGTCAACAGTTCAACACACTGACAGGTGTCATCGACGCCAATACGGTTTATGGAGTGAAGGAGGCCTTTGCCCGCAAGCTGCGGACTGGCTATGGCGGTCTAATGCGAATGAATCCCGTCTTCCAGGAGTACGGCCTAAAGGATCTGCTGCCCCTGAAACTGGACATTCCCGACGAGGGCTGCACTCGTCCCAATAAGAGCATGTACTGCTTCGAAGGCGGCGAGATCAGAGTGAACGAACAACTGGTACTCACCTGCATGCACACATTGATGGCTCGGGAGCACAATCGACTGGCCACCGGATTGGCCCAAATCAACAAGCACTGGGACGACGAGACCCTGTTCCAGGAGGCCCGTAGGATTAACATAGCCATCGTGCAGCATGTGACCTTCAATGAATTCCTGCCCATTCTTCTCGGAAAAGAGGTCATGGAGAAGTTCGGATTGGTGTTGCAGAAGGATGGCTACTGGGATGGCTATGACTCCACCGTTAATCCTGGCATAATTGACTCCTTTGCCGGAGCTGCTTTCCGTTTTGGTCACTCCTTGCTTCCCACTGCCGTGGAACGCTGGTCCAAGGCCCACAAGTTCATTGCCTCGAAGCGCTTGTCAGATCTTATCCGCAGACCCTACGACTTATACAGAGCTGGTGTCCTGGATGAGTACTTCATGGGTCTGATGAACCAGGTGGCTCAGGCTATGGATGACTCCATTACCCAGGAGGTCACCAATCATCTGTTCAAAAAGGAGGGCGCTCGTTTCGGTATGGATCTGGTGTCATTTAATATGCAACGCGGTCGGGAGTTCGGTATTCCCGGCTATATGGAGTTCCGCAAATTCTGCGGTTTACCAACTTCCAACACATGGGACGAGATGTACGGTTCAATGCCAAATGAAACAGTTCTGCGTTACGGCAGTATTTTCGAGTCAGTTTAAAAATATAATATTAATCAAATAAACTCAAGCTATAATGCCAAATTTTATTTTCAGGCACCCTGCTGATATTGATCTTTGGTCTGGCGGTGTATCGGAGAAGTCGCTGCCAGGTTCAATGTTGGGACCGACCTTTGCCTGTGTCATTGCCACCCAGATGAGCTATTTGCGTCGCGGAGATCGTTTCTGGTATGAGCTGCCCAACCAGCCATCCTCATTTACTCCCGAGCAGTTGCAAGAAATTCGCAAGGCCAAGTTATCCCGATTGATTTGCGACAACACCGATTTAATTGATACGGTACAGATTTATCCCATGGTCCTGCCTGATCATGAAATGTAAGTTGAGGCATTTTAGTCAAAGACAATATTTAAATGAAATTATTTTTTATAGCAACCCTCGTGTACCTTGCAAGAGTGGCATTATTCCATCAATTGATCTGACTAAATGGGCAGACTATGGCAGTCATGGCGTGGATCCTTCTCTCTATGTAAGTAAAAAATATACATCCCGATTATCAAGATTATAGCTATAAATCCTCTTTTACAGAACTACATTAATGAAATACCCGATACGCTGCTGAACTTTAGGAAGTAAATGCCATTTGTGTCCTCTACGTTCCGTTTACAATCTCGATTCATTTTTGGCCACCGCCCACTGTATCTTGTTTCTTCAGAAATCTTTACCTTCCCCTCCTCACTGCTTAGTCTTCTAACTAGTCTTTGCTCACCATCCGCCAGATCCATTAAGCATTTCTACAGCCAGTCAGTAGTTTTGACACTGCCATTAATTTTTCAAAACTCTTTCCAGCATTTTCATGCATAAACCCATACATTCTTTGTATATATTATTATTAAATAGCAGAAATAGAGCGATTAAGTTAAAGCATATCGACGCAATCAAAAAAGAAAACTAAAAACAAATCAATAATTTTTAAATATATTTCGATGTAAGTTTTGTATATGCAAGTATTTTTTAAATAAAATTGAAAAAAAAACGTGGAATGACTTCTTTGGAAATAGGGTAAGCTTTGCGCTTTAGAGTCCTTCAATAATTTTGAAGGACATTTTTATACAACCCTTAAAAATACTTTTGTACCTGATAAAAAATTGTATTTTGTATATTTTCATTCAATTATTATTTATTTACTATATCATTACAAGTTAATAGGAACTCTTTGGTTACGGGCTGGAAATCCAGTTGATTAGCAAAAGTCAGTTTCAGTTGTAGTTTCAACATCGTTGTGGTCGACATCGGCGGCCAAGATCAGATCGCATCGTGTTGAGCATCGCATTGACCCAAATAAATCCACACCTGAGTCACAGGCCATAAAAGCAGACTTAAAAGCAGAAAAAAGCACACACATCGCACACCACTCAAGAGTCGCTTCTTTTCGGCATTCACTCCAGCGCATTCAGAAACGGTGCTATGGAGGCTATGTCTTCGCAATCGGGGATGGCTTTGCCCTTGAACTTCAGACAGGATAACGCACACGTCTGTCCTTGGAAGTAATCGCCCAACATGGTCTTGCACTGGACGCAGTTATTCAGGCACACCTGTAGGATAAAATTTTGTGGAGTTAGTTTTAAATTCAGGATAAAGAGAAGGATACAACCTACCTGAATGAAATCGATACCTCCCATGGAATCTATAGGATAAAATATATAAAGAAATTTGAATTTAGTAAGGGTATTTACCGGTAAACGTAGTCAAAGACCTACCAAATCGCTTGTGAGTATAATGGCCAATGGCTGGCACTGCACTTCCAAAGTGCAACAGGCAAAGTGCAATGGCCACGAAAGTGCTCAAAATCAAGGGCTTCGAATTCATGGTGATTTCAATTTAAAGATTTGTTAGGAGAGCTGGCTGGCTGCGACCGTTGTCTGCCTAGAGCGGATTGGAAATAATTATTATCGCTCGTTTGTCTTCTTATTTTATATACATATGCTCTCGGCCCAAACGCAGATGCGAAAGCTTGGCAGCGTAAAGAAGCCTGAAACAGCGGCAAAAAAACAGCTCAAATAAAATAAAAATAAAGAAAAAACTACTATTGAAGCCGGTCGCAGATGCGAGGCGAGTCGTCAGACAGGCCAGCCCCAGTGGCGCTAAAATACGTCAGATATCCCAGCCAATCGAAGTCAATACAAACTCAATCAAATATCCATTATTGTTGCTAAGCGTATGCAAATTTCTCAGCGATACGCAAAAAATAAAAATATGCCTTTGCTGAACTTTGCATAATTATCAGGTGAACAGATTTTATGACATTTTTAATCGGCGTTGAATGGATAATCAGTAGCTAGTTAATAAACGGAATTTATGGAATGTTAAGACATTAAAGCAGATGCTTTAAATTGAATAAATAGTTAAGAATCCGCCTTACAAATATGATACATGCTATAGGATAGATGGGAGAGAAAAAATTTCCCCGATTTTCAAGAGCAAAGCAAAAAATTCACCGGAGTTCGAAAAGAAAGTATTAAAAGCAAAAAGCTCTTTTCGAAAAACCGATCGGAAAGCTACAGCAGCAGGAAGTGTCAAGGAAATGGACGCAGCCGAACTGAAATCGTAATGAATGCAAATCGTATGCGACTGGCGAGCCCATTAATTAATGGCGCTGTAACTGCAGTAAAAATATGGTTAAAATGTAAATAAAATATAAAACGTAGAACCGACCTGGGGCGGACTAAAATCAGACAATCGGGTAAACATATATAAGAATTCTTTTGTCCTCCCTCAACCGGACACGGTGTGAAGATTGCCGGTAACTGGTTTTTATTTAAATACATTATAACCGAATATTCAAAAAACAATAATCCAGGCTAAAACTAATCAGCTGTATCAGCGTGGGAATATTTTTAGTTATGTTAATTTTATGCGACACAAATTGTACGTTTCCTAACTAATTGGCAACACGCGCCAATACGCGAGCGTATGAGTAATGAACCCGTGCGGCGTATACGTCACAGCTGTCGAGCTTGGGTTTTTTTGTTTTTGCTTTTTGTGGGCGTGACACTTAAGCCAGGCTTAAGATTTCGGCCCAGCTGATTTGACAATGACGTATAAACGGTACCCGGATCGACACTTACCGGTAGTTGAGTGTTTGGCCAAATGGCGTGGGTGTCGCTGACAAAAAACACAACGAGTTTGTTTGCTGAAAACTGGTTCTAGAACAACACTGCTGTCGGATTGCAGAGTTCTTGTTGTATTTATACACGAACTTTTTGCTATCTATGCGAGCAAATTAATCAATTTATCTGGCACCGCAAATCCACCTAATTGAATATGTGCAAAATGGCAAAATGTCACTTCCGCTGGCGGTAGCCGGTCACTTTCTTGAGTGCTTTTCACAGCGGTGTTCTCAGTACCGAGTACTGGATGTAACTTAGCCAGTTTAATTGCGTTTCTTTTTGGTTGATTGGCTGCTACTTGATTTGTTTTGGGCTAGCAAATCGTATTGCAAGCAGGAAGCAATTCAACTAAAAGGAGTTTGTTTTTCTTACCAAGCTGCTTCAAGTTTCCTTTTCCCTGGAAAGTTTTTATGCATAAAGTGCAGTTCTGATTAAATCAGTTGTCGCGTTATAGAAAATAATGTTTAATTAGAATTGAATCAAGCTAAAAGTAAAGCTTAACCTCTGTTAGTATTTTGTATATTGCTGGTTCAGCAAACTATATTATTGACATTATAGACAGTGTCATTATATTTATAAGAAACATATCATCAAGCAAGAAAAGCTATAATAAAACTTATATTACCAAAAACTTTTTTAAAGAGAAAAATATTGACAAAAACTTAAGGCTTTTAACATAACGAACTGCTTTCTGCCATTTTATGAACTGCTTTATCGTTGAGCTGCTTGCTTTTATTTTTGGTTAGTCTGGCAGCCCTGTTTTACATTGCGGTGTAAAAATTATGTAGAATTTTCTTTAAAATGCGAAACTTATTTTTGTTAAGAATCTATATAGTTATTTTAATTTTATTAATAATAATAATTAATAACAATAATAAATAATAATTTTAATAATAAAATTTATAATTTAAATTTGTTTATTGTACCTTTATATTATGGTTTAAAAATAATTCATGGTTTAAAATAATTAAGTTTTGTCTTACAACTTGGGACAAACGAAGTTTCAAAATATTCGACTTATAACAGCATAACTATTAATAGTTTAGTTCTCTTAATTTTTTGTCCCGGTTTTATAAAATATTTATGCTGACACTAACGCAAACAAAACCAACTTTTGGACTTAAAATTTGTAGTCGTAGTATAGTACTTTTAAAATGGTAATCTTAAGAAGAAAGGGTATTGGGTATTAAAAATTTACAAAAACTAGTATAGAATTTTTAAGCAGCAAAATCGAGATGTTTTGACTCCACCCCTTTTTGCTTTATTTAACGACTCCCTTAGAGGCAATCAATTTCTCTTCAATATAAATCTCATTATTAAAGACCTGGTCGGATTAAGTTCTTATTTTTCGCCCCTCTGGACGTGCTTGAAAATGCTGAAAAGCCACAACAGCAAACATTTCAAGCGATGACCTGGAGACGAGTGTGTGTGAGGTTGGGTGTGCGGCCGCCACCATCAACGCCGCTGAACAGCGAAAACTTTTATTAGTTGCAGCTGGCCCCATCCTCATCCCGATTTTCCTCAAACTACACTTCTTCAGAAGGCCAGAGCGAGTAAATCGAGTAAACGATTTTCTTTATAGTGCAGCATTTTCGAAGCTATTTTTTTGGTTTTTTTCGATTGGTGGAGGCAAGCAACTTTTATTTTAAACCAAGCCAAAAGCCGAGGTTTTCGGACGCTTTATTTATGAACTTTGCCAACAGAGTCGATCCGCCTCACATATCCCTTTCATGCGTTGCAATTGCTTCCTTTGTGCTTGGGCAGATATTTCAGGCACGTAAGCATTAAATTTTTTAGCCATACAATATGCTCATTGTGCCACTGATTTTAGCCCCAAGATATACGGGTTTATATGTTGCCAGCTAGCCGGGCATGACAAAAGAGCAATGAAGCCTATTTTGTAGCAGAAAACTTTGCCAGGTCGAACAAAAACTTTATTTAAATAACATTCTTGCTGGCACTTCATCAATGGAAAGCGCCCAAGCTCCTAATATAGTTTCACTCAACAATAATAAACTTTAAAGTATTTTTAGCCATGTCCCCGAAAATAAACACAAGCCGAGAGTATAATTAGTGTAGTAAGCCTTTTCGCATGCTTCACTTCACACGGCTAAGCCAAAGAACTAAACTCCCCCTCCTAGCTCTCAACGGGCCCTGTCAACGTGTCGTATGCGTAATGGAGCTTGGGTTTCTGGAGTTTCCTCCGACCAGCTACCTGCCCCTCCGAGTCGCCACCGGCATGTAAAAAACGTGTTAATCCACGAACTAATTTGATGTTAATGTGGGGGGCTGATGGGTCGACAGGTCGGTGGGGGTTAGTGGGCTACCCGGCGCTGACTTAATTGTTTTTCAGCTCACTTTACACTCCACCGTCGTTTTTGTGGGGCTTTAAGAGCCATCCAAAGTGGCCGGGCCATTAGAGCGTAAGCAAATTATACTTGTACTGGAAACAAATACAAAACAAATATCATTACACTTTAAAGATTTTAAAAGCTCCATTCATACAAATCATATTTTTGCGTAGACTAAATTCAAAAAGATTTAAAATAAATTAATAAAATCTTAAGTATCCAACATTTTCCACCGTGTGTTTCGGCAAGACAACAACCTGGCCAGAATTAAGCAAGCTGAGAATTAGTCGCATCTTAAGGTCCTCGTTTTCTGCATATTCAGCAGGTTCGAATGGCGACCGGATTACGGGCCAACTTCTACTTGTCCTGTTGCCTTTGCTGGCCAGGCGACCGCCCGTCGCGCTCGATGTGCTAAAAATGAAATCAGTGAAATGGTGGAAATTAAAAAATAACGAGATAATTAAAAGCTACCCCCGCAGTTATTTGCGTGTGTGTCTCTTGGCTCACGTAGCTCTGCTTAAGTGGCGGCATTGAGGCTGAAAACCCAATGAGCGGGCGTCGGTTGGGCGACTGGGTGGTTGGGTGGTTCGGTTTGATGGTTTCTGTCTCGGTTTCTGTGGAGCGATCCCATGACCATCCCACACATACGGCCAGATACTGAATGAGCCGTTTTAATCCTGCCATTTACTTTGTGCCACAATACTCGTTCATGTTTAATGTCGTTTCATTTCGTATTTGACTCGAAGCTGCTTTTGTATTTTTTTCCTGATATTCCTGTTGGTGTCCTGGTGTTGTTTTCGGTCTCGTTTTCATTTTGAATTGTTTTGTTTGTTTGCATTAAGCTCTCATGCTGTGCTATGAGATCCCAGGTTTTGCTTTATTTGATAATTGCTTTTTGAGGTTTCTAGCAGGAGTGTTGCGGCAGGACTCCTGCAAAGCAAAACGTATCATTTTCTAAGTGGCCTATAGTTGGTAGCGATTTATTTTTTCCATTTAATTGAGAGTTAAAAGGACTAGGTAACAAACCAACAAATCTAGTAATTAGTCTGTAAAATCAAATTTCAAGACAATTAAGGTAACCAAGACAACGAGTTAAAATATTGTTCAAGAAGAATTAAAAAGGATTAAATTTACATAATAACATAATTTTTAATATTAAAATCATACTTGAAACCTTATATTATTAAAAATGTGTTAACTCATTCTTTCACCAAAAAAATTTAAATCCATTTGAAAAATATTGTAATAACACTTTGAAGTGCCAATGGAAATTACATTTTTTTTGCAAGGAAAGTGTCCGAGGGCAGTGTGGTATTTTAACGCAAAATATTCATTACTCTAAATGTGCATAATTTATATTGATGTGAATTTAAACGCTTCAATTACTTTATTTTTTTGTTTTGAGTTCGGCGCGCTGCTAATAACATTACGTGACCGCAGTGCCACCCACCTAACAATGAATTTAATTTTCAAATAAATTTAACTCATTCATTGTGATGGAAACAACTGCTGGCCACAGCTTGTTAATGAATTTTGAAATGTAAATCAGCATATATTTCCATATAACTCCAATAACCTGTGAACGCTCCGAGAAGCCCTTTACAGCCATTAAATCAACGTATTGTGCCATTATTAAATTGAATCAATTTTAAGGTTTCATTTTTTTTTTACTTTTCATTCATTTTTTTGCATGAATTCTAGTAAATGTTTTACTCACTGATGTGAGGTTGGAAATTAAATAAAGTATGATGACGCCGCTGATGAAGTGAACTGACATGGCGCTTGATTACCTCGCTTGCGGCATAATTAGTCAGTTTGACCGCCAAAAAATGTCCCTGGCTGGAAATTAGTCGAAACGTTTGTTAATTAGCAAACGCAAATACACTCGGAAATGGGCATGTGTGCTTTTGTGTGACATAAATCGAACTGAATGACAGTGTCAAGGGGAAAGGAGAAGGCAGGGAGAGAGTCCAATCCTGACATGCACATGTCCAAAATGCGCAACTCGACAAAATGCCAGCCAGTCCTGACCCCTCAATTCGCATCCTTTTGCCCACGTAGGTGCGGAAATGTGTCGAACTCTGCCATGTTGCGATACGACGAAATTGGGTCGCATTTCAAAAAATGTTTGGGCTCTTGTGGAGTCCAGGAATATGGATGCCACAGCAAACTAGTGCTGTCAGCATTTTTCAGATTCATATGGCTAAAATAATGGTCATGCAAATAGGCAATGCAAATTAAACTCTTAAATTGAATGACAGTTTATGCAACATCCTCTGGTAAAACAGACAACAGAGCATTAATAACCTTTTCTTCGTTTGAAATAATTTTCATTAAAAAAACTGCTAAAAGCAAAAATGGCTAAAAAGCCAAAAACACATCGCCTCATACATAGAGGTGGAAAGTAGAAAACTTGCATATTTCCCGGCAAATCTCTGGGCGTCGGTTTGTGCGATTGTCTCTGTGTGACTTTGCGTTGACATTTCAACTTTGCCCCGACCAGGCTAATGCAATGAAAACTTGCAGTTTGTTTTAGTTCTAGACACTTTTTCGTCGGTCTCCACTTTTTCCTGATGCTGTCTTAAAGTAGAGACAGATCAGATGGAGCTAAAATTCCAATTAGGCAAAGCCCAGTTCAGAAATCGGGCTGCGAAATGAAGTCCAGCTAAAGGACTTAGTCCGAACCAGTCGGCAATAAATGTCATGCCGCTGGCTTTTTGCAATCAACATTTATGCTGACTTCAAAGGGGCAGACACCGCAATAATAAAGCCCTATTTTGCTCTAGGCGCAGCTAGTGAAGTGTCAAAGGAGGACACTGGAACTGGTTTAATCCGCATTTTTGTTTCGTTTACAAGAACTTATTCCCTGTTTAAAGGGGCTGCTTGAGTGACATATTTTTTAGTTAGAAACATTATCCAGCTAGTATGATTTTTATAAAACTTTGCATAAATAGAAGCAATCCCAGTGCGTTAAAGAAGTCCGATAAACTCAGCTTAAAGGGCTGCCAGGCCAGAGTTTATTGAATCTGTTGGAACTCCAAGTTTCTAAAGACCAAAAATAGCCTGGGCATCGGGTCGCGTCTTCCTGCCGCGTGCGCATTGTAAAAGTTTTTTCCTTGATTTTTTTTCGGGGTGTTTCACCATTTTTATTTGAGTTTTCACTTACCTGGCGCTTAAGTGTTTCTTCTACCAGGCCATTTGCCATTTGTTTCGGCGCAACATTCCCCGTCGATGTGAAAAGTTTGCGCCGAAGGCAAGGGAAAGCAGCTTGTGCGGGCTACTTTTATGATTATTGCTTTCCTGCCAGCTCAACCTTGGCGAGGAAGTGTATATATTGTATCTCGTATCTGTGCTCGACGGGCCTACGAATACGCCTATGCCAATGGCATACTTAAGCCTTAATGTTAATTTTAAGCAGTTTGCCCATAAGCTTTTGATTTAAAGCAGCCACAAGGCCGGGTAAGCTCCTTTCTGCCTCTCGGAGCCTTGGCGTGCTGCCATGCCACAAAATACATACCAGACATGGACCTGGACATGGAGATGGAGATGGGGTGGCGTTGCATCTGCCATTGCCACCCCAGGCATGTGCAGCTGTTGCCGGTGGAGAAGTGCACTTCACTTTGTCTAATTGTAAAATAAATAAATGAGATAAAAACGCAAAGTGGCAGGGGCGTGTAAAAAATGCAAAAGGAAATGAAAAATTGCGCTCGACTTGCGTACGCCCCAACGCCAAGAGCCACGCACAGTTGCGGTTACACCGAGGTAAACAATATAGGTTTTGATTGTTTTTTAAATATACTTGCTACTAGATTACCCTATTGGTGAATTGTATATGGGCGTAGGCCAGAACTGATAATTTGGCATTTTCACAAATAATTTGTGATCTATAGATTTTGGTGAAAAGCGACATTGTTAAAAGTTGTTACAAACGTGCATGAGGTGTCGGTTTGGCCAAAAAAGATGTCTAGATGTAACGAAAGTTTTTGCTTGGGCCAACTAATAACTGAACTAAATAACTAAAATTTGAATCGTTTTATCACCTTTGTAAAATCATCTTGGGTCTTTTTCAGGTACTAGTAATAGCCTTGTAGTACTTCGTTTTCATAAAATTCTTGTAATGCTCACAATTCTTCTAGATGTCGGATGTCAGGGTCTTTTGCTTGTATGTGTTCTACTTTTTTCCATCTTATTATGCTTTGGTGTTCACCTACTTTATGTTCTTTACTTCCGAGCCTTCTACATCATGTCGGTCTTCTTAGAAAAAGGGGAGGTGTGGCGATCATATAAGTCGGTCATGTCCGCATTGGTTTGGGTTTCCGCATTACATTGAGATCTGGGAACAAGCGATTGCAAGAAGCGCTTACGACTGTTGTTAAGATCTATGATCTCTTTCTCACTGGGCAACTCCACCTGCTCATATTCCGCCAACTCGCTGTCGGTATCATCCCTCAATAATAAAGCATCATACATATCGGCCAGTTGTTCTTTATCCATATCTTCGAATCTGATCCGGCGCTGCTGATCCGTGGTCTCACTTTCGGAGCCTTGCTTTTGGGAATCACTCATTTTATTAGTTCTTGGAAAGCGACAATCAAAACTATTTCAGATCCAAATAAATATTCATTCAAAATATTTATAGAATGTGTTTTAAAAATTGCGAGCTAAGCGTGTTTTCTGATCGGCGTTCCCCGAATAACCTTCATTCCCTTCAGTCTCTGACGTATGTGGGATTTTTAAAGAGAAATTTTTTTCATAACCTACTTGATTCAAGAAAAATGAAACAAACTGAATAAAGAATTAGTTTTTTTCTTTTATGTTCTTAGAATTATACATTTTATTCTTGGTGTAACTGCTTTGCTCCAGCTTAGACTCGTGAGCCCAGCAAGTGGAACTCCGTGGGGAGGGCTGTCGAAAATAATAAATCAAAGTGACACATTGAAAATGCAAGGACCCTGCACCAGCGCCATACCCTTGCATCCAGCGTACTCTATCCTTGTTCTTGCAGTTTCCCCACCTGGCTAGAAGACAAAGCGAACGAAGCTTTCAATTTCAACGCTCCAGAACGCCAAGACTGACGTTTGACAGACACAGGACTCAAGACGACTGCCTGGCTGGCTGGTTGGCAGACTAGAGGACTGGCTGGTTGGCTGTTTGGCTGGCGGGAGACGCAACAAGAAGTGCAGTTAACACAAAGGGATGGGATGCAGATACTTTGCCAGAGTCCTGACAACAACCCTTCCGTCATTGTCAGCCGACGGATGAAGGGACCGAAAGGCGGAGTTCTTTAAGTACTTTGCGGATAGAATAGCTTGCTGTCGCAATTTAGATAAATTTTAATTTTAATAAAGTGTTTGCTCTGCACTCCTCGCCCACTCGAGCAGCTCCTCTCACGGCATTATGAATTAATTATCGCAGCAGTCATACGCTGGCTTTGGTTGCGGCCCTTTGGATTTTGGACGTCGTGGCAGTCTCGGTGGTTCCGGTGGCACGGCGTCGTAGAGCTCACCCACTTGTCGGATGGTTCCACAGTCCATGCCCATCTCGAGGGCCTCCGTGATGATCTTGTGACAGACCTCCCCCGGGAACCCCGTCTTTATGGTCACGAAAGTTGCGAGCTGACGCAGGGTGGTAGGCCTGGAGGACTCCCTCAATGCGGCAATCACAAGGTCATATGGTGAGTTGATTGTGCGATCGTAGTAAGCAAGGGCCATTTTTTGTCTATTATTTGAGTTTTAAACATTTGTTTTTCTAGAATGAAGTGTAAAACAATAAATACTTATAAGGTAATGCTGTTTAAGATACTTATTTTATTCTCTGTTTTTTGTTGGAAAATCCCTTTATCTTTTTCTGATTTAATTTCCTTCATTTCATCTGTTTGAAAAATATTAATTTTTCAATAAATATTTTATTTAATAAAGAAAAGTTTTAATAACGATGTCCTCTCCGAAGTTTGATGTGCCTCACAAAAGCCCCAGAGTCACCATCTCAGCTTGCTGTTGGGCATCTTTTGGGAAATGGAATCACAAGCAAGTCACACGAAGCGTTAAGTTGCTAACAGGAATCTCATTTTTTCGCCCAGCAGCAACAGCTTTTAACCCCTTGGTGGCCGTATCCTGCGTCATTTTTTTGCACATATGTGTCTCTCTTCCTCCCTTCTTCCTTCTTCCTCACATGTTGTCTGTCAAATTAATGCCGCATTTTATGCGCCCCGTGGCGCCTTCGGATTTTTTGGCTCCCATTTTTGGATCGCGTTGAAAATGAAATTAAAGCCGGTGGCTGTAGTTCGGCTTAACTGGCTACAAGCCTGCGATTTACTGGCTCAATAATACATCGGTGGCGAATGCCAAAAAGTTCAAAAGGCGGCCAAAACTTTTGCATTTCTTGCTTTACCCTCGGCGACCAACAATTTGAATGAATCGCGCAAATTGAATAAAAGGCCATTGCCACAGTTCAAGCTGAAAAACTGCTGGCTGTGATAAAATCATCAGCTTCCATCCTTATTCCCTGAATTTCCTTTTTCGCTCTAGAAGTTTTTTATGGTTCAGTCTATGGACGGAGGGGTTGCTGGAAATAAATTTTTATTGCACGAACGAATTCAATAAAACGAAGCGAACACGGAGAATAGAATAAGACATGAACCGAAGAACCTTTTGAAACTCTTAATTAAATGATAATTTGCTTATAGAGATATCATTATAATTAATATTGAAAAATAGTTTTTAATGCATTTACTACATAAGATTAAATCCAAAATGGTTAGGAAACCGCTCTATTGTTGCTTGCCAGCAATTATCCAATCAGCCACGTACGATTTCGATTTGCATAACCCGGCAGGGCGAGAAATATATGTACATATCGATATGCTGCGGCATACATGTATTAAATGCAATTTATGCAAATTCCTGCCTTCATTTGCACTAAGCTTAAAATAGGAAACTGCAGCGGCAGAGGCAGGAGCAGATCACTAAAAGGGGCGTGGCCACAGTCCGCATTACATTAAATCAAATCTGAATGCATCGAGCAAGCTGTGTATTTCGCAAACAAAAAGATAGATACGTGTGTGAGGGCCAGTCTGTGGGTTGGTGTGTGAATTGAATTTAATTTTATGCATTTGCTGTATCAACGCATAAATTATGATAAAAGGCATAAAATATGTATGACGGAGAGGAGTGAGTCGGAGCGGAAGTCCAAGTAAATTAAGTTGATGGCCAGGAAGAGTGCGGAAAGCGGAAATGGGAGAAATCGAATGGAATGGCAGTTTAGATACCATACCCAGCCCTACATACTTCCATATTCACTGAATTTATGCACGAACAATGTCAAAGATCAGCTCGACACAGATGCTCACTGAATTAGCCAGGGCAAATATTTATGGCCATCTGAAAGGCAGAAAGGTACAGCGGGTCCTTTCCCGGCCCAGCCCGTTTACGTAAATGTTTGCCAGCCACCTGTTCGCAGTTGTCATTCCCTGAATGCGAATGCAGCAAAAAAGCGAGAGATTGTAGCAAAAAGCAGCTAATCCGACTGAGCGCCAATTTGGGACACATGTAGACAGTTTCTGCAGTTGCTAGTTCCACTTTGCACTTACCGCTCCCCGTTCACCTTTGAAACTCATTTGGCGCAAAGCTGACAAGTCCCGGGCAGATAGTCATCCGGGCGAATAGTCGTCCGTTCAATTAGCAGACGGTCACAGGGCATTCCTCTAAGCGTCTGTCTTTTATTAATATGTCCTCGGTCAGTTGTCCTAAACCGAAATAGAGCATGGAAAAGGGTTTAAAAGTGCGGCAACCGACTATAAGATACCCGCTAGGAAAAATTTTGTTTTTTTTCAAAATTGTTGGCTGTAGTATATTCTGTAGTAACTGATCAAATCTATCCATAGGGACATAATAAATTAAGAGGTTCGTACCCTGATACCCTGATCAGGATGAGCATGCCCTGATTTCCAAAAGAAATGTACTTCTAGTAACATCCTATAAATAGGAAAGAAGTCATGGGGTGAAGCTTCGAGACAAGCGAGATGCAAACTAATTGAAAACACTTCAAAGGACATCAATATCAAAAGCATAGACATTGACAAGAAACGAGACACCAATGGAGAGTCAACCCGTCCTTCAGCCATCTGGCAAATGTCAAACGAACAAAGCGAAAAATTGTCTACTGTCCGCAGAATGTTGAAAAAAAGGCAAGAACAAATTTTCCCTTGCAAACAAGCATCAGGAAAATGCACAGACACAACCAAATCAGAGCTATGCCAAAATTAAAAATATTTCCACACAGCAGATCATTCATTCGAGCAGCCTTCGGACTCGTCCTTGTAATCTAAAATATATATATTTAAGCTCGTCAGTTTGGGAAAGGAATTCGGCAGTCGAGCTGGAATGGGTTTGAGGGAAGATGGAGGAGGACTTGTAGTTTCAATTTCAGGTGCTGACCCTGTGCTACAATAAGTGGATAAAATCCTTTTCATTTTCCCACAGTGTGTCCGGCTTGCTACAAAATCAATTTACAACGGAAGCTTACTTACATAACCCCCCCGAGACACATAATCCTGTTTATTCGAGTGTGTGTAGACGATTTTGCTGGTGGTCCAGCAATCGCCACTGCTGCATATTGGAACTGTCTTTTCGGACTCGGTCTGTGTTTTCCTTGGGCATTTCGTAAAATATCACAGGTAACTGTCGCTGCCCCTGTCTCTGGACAATTTCAGCACATCCTTTCGTTCAACTTTGCCGTTTCTGTGGTCGGAACTTTTGCATATCGGTCACATTGTCCTTCGGGGCAGCACGTGTCCGCCCTTACATTCCCCATCGTTATGCCGGGTTCCTTGTAAACATAAAGCCTTCCACATACTGCCACAGTACTGTGTGTATGCGTAAAGGCTTCGATTGCACTTTATAATACGGTTATGCCTGCCGGCATTTATTTGCCTTAGTTAGATTTTGTTTGTTGTGAAAATTTCATAAATATTTAGTTGCTGTCAGCTGCAGGTTCACTTATTGTTTATGCTCATGCTACCTAACTGAATAACAAAAAGTCGTATTTGTTCCTTCAAAAAAGTATATATGCGATGCAAGAAAAGATTTTACTGGGTATTCCGGCACATAATTACAATGCCCTAGTGACTTACACTGCGAATACGCAATGTAATTGATTTAAATTGAGAATAAGATTCAACATTTGTAAGAAAAGGCGATCTAATGGAAGCTTAGATTATACTCAAATAATTAATTCAGTTCCTTTAATTGCAAATAAGAATATGACTTTGCTTTTGAGAAAGGCTTACGCAAAGCTGTTAAAAGCTAAAGAGAAATTAAAAATTCTCATAATCCCACTAGCCTAAATGGAAAATCAATGCCTTGCACAAACACATCAAACTTTTATGAATCGAAACTTAAATGCTGGCCAATGAGAAAACGTTAAACTCGCCCAACTGGGGTTGGGAAAAAGCATTTTCAAATGCAAATAGCAGAACGAGTAACTTTGGTTTGAGTTTCACTGTAAGCCGAAGCTCATAAGTTGCCAGGAAGTTCTGAATATTCAGAATGATTACTGCCTGAACTGAAGTAGATTAAAGACACCCAAAAGGCACTCAAAGTCAACTCTGGGGCTGGCAGATTGAGTGAGTGAATAAAGTCGGATGGCCACTTCACAACTTTTTAAAGTTTGTAAGCAACAATGAGATCCTTGTGCTTCTGCATCTCCTCTCCTCAACGAATCGAGTACTTTTGCTGCACCTTTTATCCTGACGGAGCAGTCAAAGTTGCCTGGCAACATTGCGCCAATTCAATTGATTTGACTTTCGAGTGCAATGCGTTTTTAAGCGCTGCGCAAACACAACTAATGCACTGTATGCCCTGAAAAGTTGGCTGGCAGAGGCCTCAACAATTACGTGAAAGCTGGAACTTTAATTAAAGTGATTGATTTACAGGGGCTAGGTTTTTATTTGTTGCTTAGAAATTCAGAAATTTAGGTTGGTTTTCTTTTAGCCTGACTATGAGATAAGATTAAAGATCTGGTTCGCTTTTTGCCAAGCAATTCGGGCCCAGAGGAGGTCAATAATTTATTAGCCTCTGTTTTTCGTAACGCATTTTTTATTGGCATTTTCAGTTTGCGTAACAAGTTTTGGCTAATTTATTACACCCGATGGCTCGTAAATTGTGAGGGAGGCGAGCACCAGTTTCACATCCGGTCCTCGGCAATCCTTGTTTCATGTCCGGCTGCCATTTGCCGAGCAATGAGCATGTTAATGCCAAAATTTATGCTCAACAAACAACTCACGAATTTCATTTATTTTCGAAAGTCGACAGGAGTCTTTTCAACAGCTCGGATGACTGCATAATCCCGCCTAATTAGCTTCAATTGTCGCTGTCATAAAGCGCATCCTCCCGGGACACTTAAGTGCCCAATTTGCAAATAAGTCAGTCGGCCAGGCAGGTGCTCAGCTCTCCTTGGTCTAACCTCTGCATCATTTTCTTAGCTCATTGGCAAATTAATTAGCTGTCAATTTGCTGAAAAGTTTTCTACACTTTCGCTGGTTGGGCAGCAGTGGTTGGGCGGGCGGTTACCCAAGTTTAATTGCGTTTTTGTGCTTGAAGTGTTGGGACCGCCGGGTCTCATTATGACCAACTTTGAGGAGTTTTATTTGAACTGACAATAAGTGGACGTAGGAGTGGGTGTGCGTTTATGTTCGGGATAGGATCGGGATCCCTTACTTGCCACATGAATCAAACCGTTAAACTAACAAGACCCAAAAACACA